CCACNCACCAACCTACCTCTCTCTCTCTCTCTCCCCCCTCATCCCTTACGCTTTCGACCGCAAGCTCGTTACCGGTTCTCCAAGTTTTCCCACTGCTTCTTTTTGCGCTCCAAGCTACCTACCTAGCCCGACTGGTTTTCTTCTTCGCCCGTTTTTCCTATCTCCCTGCCTTTTTTTCCCCCCCACCGCAACCCGGTGGAATTATCGCCATTATCGCGCAGCCAGCCGAGCATTCGTCGTCGGCGATGACGCGAATCGTCAGCGAAATCGTGTGTCTTCTATATATATATGTATGTGTATCATACGTGTAGTATACGTGTGCGTTGGAGGAGAGAAATATAGAAGACTTTGCGGTCTTTCACGGTTAGTTTGCCATTCGGTTGGTTTAGGAGTTAGTCACGAACGATCAACGAGGTTGAAAGTTAGAGGAGGGGGGGAGGGGGGGGGAGGGTATAAGTTGTAAGGTGAGAGAGTTAGCCGAGGTTGGTAGCGGCGCACGATGTATAAAGGATAGGGTGAGAGATCGCTTTAGGATGCTTGCCTCACGTTCGCTTGCGACAAGGAGAAAAATGCGTGGATGAGGAATAAAATTGGAAAAAATTGCGCACGGTTTTTAAAATGGAAATCGATAAATAGGGAAACTTTTGTTCGACTCGCGATTTTAGAAAAATAAAAATCTGTGTATAAAGAGGGGGAATAAATTATTTACAATTTTCGTTTCTGCGGAAAATTTAATTCGATCCGTTTAATCCCTTTTAACAAGAGCGATGGAATTTTACGTGCTATCTATTATTTATATAAATGAAAGCTTTTAGTCACGTACAAATTTATCGTCCGTTATATCGCTCGACTCGAACAAGAATTAATGTTTAAGAGATTAAATATATAATATACGTTGCTACGGTAGGGGGAAAAAAAGGGGAGGAATTATAAAATATTGCAAATAGCTATTATTGTTTTTCGAAATTGTATAACGTTCAGCTTGCATTTCTCTACGAATATGCTTCGTAATTAGTTTCCAATTCTGACAAACGATATTTGGGGGAGGGTAAAATTTCGAATTAAACGAAAATTCGTTTAAACGGAAGAGGGTGATAATGCAAGAATATACGGAATACGGATAACGTGGAGAATTTGCTTGGAAAAAAATGATAATAATAACAAATGAAATTAACGCGAGAGTCAAACCTTAACGGCTGTCTGATCTATTATTCGTTGTTGGCTTGGTGGCTTCGATTAACCGTAGGTCACGGTAAATTTTCATGGAGGAGATTATTTATAGACACTACGTGATACCATATTTGCGGTACGATAAATCACGAACCACCCTCATAAAATTTGTCACGGTTTCGTGGCATAAAGTAATGCGTAATAAATTTCACTACAATAATGGACGACGATCTTATTAAACTGCAATAATGAACCGAAATTCGAGCGCCATTTCCCCATCGATCATCGGTCGGGGTTTAGTTCGATCGTGTTGCTTGCGAACTCTCCTCGGCAAACTTTCGTGCCATTTGATCGCATTGATAAAAGAAAAATGAGAACAGATGGAAAATATATAGTGCGTAATCGAGAAAGTGATCAAAAATTTCCATTCGATCGCTCGTTTTAGGAAATAAAAGCAAGGAAATTAAAGGAAAATTTTATTTCAGAATTATGCGGATAAAAAAAAATGTCGAAAGTCGAAATATCACGTGCGTGAAATAGAAAAATTCCGTTCGTTTCTCGCGACTAATCAACCTTGACCTCCTCTTTCCTTTCCTTTTTCTAATTAACCAAAGAATCCTCTTATTTCGTCCACAGTTTTGGTCTGCTTACGTGCCGTGCGAGTCGCAGCATCTCAACGCGGTCCAGCTGACTCTGGAGCAGGTGGACCTCATTAAGAGGCTCATAGAGAAGTACTCGCAACACTTGCAGTTCGCTGCATCTTCAAGGGGTGAATATCTCTCCTGATTACTCAAAACGTGCATTCACGAAAATCTTGTTTCTTCTACGACACTCGCTTTTTTCTTTTCTAAAAAAAGAAAAAAAAAATTTATCGTTAAGAATAATCCGTTTCCTTCTTTTATTTTAATTCATAAAAAATAAACAAAGTTCTTTTGCAAAGATTTAAATTTAAACAAATTCTACAAACTTTCAGAGATTCTGGAGGCTCGTGAAAGAGGCAGAATAGCTTCGCTGATTGGAGTGGAGGGTGGACATAGTCTAGGAAGTAGTTTAGCCGTTTTAAGGACACTGTATCAATTAGGCGTGCGCTATCTGACGCTCACGCACACTTGCAACACACCGTGGGCGAAAAGTTCGACGGTCGAGGACGAGGATGAGGACGGTGAGTGGATAAGATGGTGGATGGATAAATTTTAAAATTATAACGAATATATATTCATTGTCACAGGGAATATGCTTCGAATAAAATTGATTCGACGAATTATCTAAAAAAAAAAAAGTTTGAGAGGAATAATTTCGATAATAAATACGTGGAAAAATAGGAAGGGATTCAATTAAGGGAAGAAAAAGTGAAATATCTGTATTTGTTCTTTTAGGAGGCGGTCTAACAGCGTTCGGGAAAACAGTAGTGCAAGAGATGAATAGGCTTGGTATGCTGATAGATCTTAGTCATACAGCGAGAGCTACCATGAGGGACGCTTTAAGGACCAGCAAAGCGCCCCTCATCTTTTCCCACTCCTCGGCCTTCGCCATTTGTAATTCCTCGAGAAACGTTCCCGACGACATTTTGAAGCAACTGGTAAGATATTCCACTGGAAGGAAACGCGCATACGATAAATTTTTTCTTTCTTTTTTTTTTAAATTAAAAGAATCGTTACGATTGTAAGTTTCCTTAAAAGGGAATTGGATTGAAATTTTGTAAAAAGGAAAAGTATAATTTAAAAAGAGTCTTGGACGTTATATTAAACGTGATGCAAGATGTAAAAATTTGAAGAATTTCAAATATTTTTTATTCCTGGTTTAAAACGTATATAAAAATGCTCTCTGTTATTATGAAATTCATTGTTGGAGACTCACGATTTGCCAACGATCTACCTGAAAGGATCCGTTAGAGAATAAATTCCCAACGAATCAAAAGGAAATTTTTCTATTTTTATTCTCTCTCGAGGATAGATGATTATCCCTCGAATCGGAGTTCCAGAAACATTTATCATCGATTCGTTTCTATCGTCGGCTTTGCTGCTCCATTATGGGGAATAACCTCTTCGCATCTCCTCGTTAAGGGACAAATTAACGTTTCGTAACCCTCCGATAAAACATCTTTCCTCGTAAAAAAGAATTTTTAATTACAATTAATGACAAAATATTTTATAACTCTTCGATCCTTTTCTGATTATTAATTCTCCTATTATTGTTTCAATAAACAATAAACTAGGGAGAATTTGTTTAGAAAGAATGTGTAATCATTTAATTTATTAAATACGGACAATTGAATTCAGACATTTAAATTCTTTCTCGAATAAAATCCAAGTAACGATCCATTATTCATTGGAGAAGAGGAAAAAAGGAAAGCGGATTTCAATCTCGGAAAAGGATTCGTAAAGTCGAAACAAATGATCGAGAGGAAATCGAAAAGTTGGTTTACGAATAGTTTTTCAATAAGATAGCAACGAAAGGAGAAACGTACGATCGCGAGAAATGCGGTTACGTGAGAACATTGCAGTAGATTTGGTCGAAGAACGTGCCGCAGTAGTTGCGGTCAGAAGCTGCGGTTAACGAAAGTTTCGATTAAGTTGTAATACTTTCGGTTAAATAAAATAATTCGATTTTTTTCGTCTTCCTTCGAAAACATTCGAAAAAAAACCTCAATTTTCATTATTGTCGTTAAAAATTATTATTATTCCAAACCAGAATTGTGATCTTGGATTCGTTTGATCGAAACTTTGGTCGAAAATAATCTACTCGTAAATTTCGAAAATTTCGACTCTATTCATCGAGGATTAAATCTAATAAAATTCTAACTCGTAGGCTGCCAACGGTGGAATAGTGATGGTGACGTTTTATAATTACTTCGTGAAATGTGGCTCTCAGGCGACCATTTCCGACGTCGCTGAGCATATTTACTACATTAGAAATCTAATTGGCGTGGACCACATCGGTGTCGGTGGCGACTTCGATGGTATCAACAAGTAAGTAAATTTCTTCTCCCCATAAATCGGTCGTGTACGATTATAAGGAATAGAAGGATATTTGGAATGCTCTCTTGTCCCTTAAATTAAAATTTTCTTTCATCGAATATCGGAAGAAATTTTAATTATTTCTCTTAAAGTATGGATCACAAATCACGCAGGATCGATCGTCTGAGGATCGATTAGAAAATGAGAATAATAAAAGATATAGCGATCCAATTTGATCCGTTTAATTTAATCAAGAAAGTACTTCTAATTAATCTTTTAACCGTAGCTGCGGTGTTGGTCGAAAGATTTATAACGCGACACCGTATCTTTCTGTAAACAGAATTTACCGGTTCGTTTCATCGTGCCTGTACTATAAATCGGTTAACATGGAAATAGTGGCACTTTTTTTTTTCTTTCTCACGATCAAAAAAAGATTGTACCGATTTGTTGATCGTCGAAAAAGAATTATAAGAAGGAATTATTTTAATTATTGTAATTTAACAAATTAAATCTTAATAATTAACGTTTGTTATTCGTGTATGATACAACTATGTAATGAACAAGCATTAGAGATTGTTCGTTTGTTTCGTTTATATATAAACATTGATTTAATGAATCGATTAATGTCAATTCGATCGGAGGAGATCGAATGAAAGATGTGATTTTTTTCTATGAATTTTTTATTACATTATATCATTAAAAATAAATATTTCAAAAATCATTAAAAATAACGATGACGATAATGATTTGTTATCAAATATTCGATATAAAGGGGCATCGATTTTGTTAACAGAACGCCCAGAGGACTCGAAGATGTTTCAAAGTATCCGGAATTGTTCGCCGAACTTCTTCGAAGTGGGAAATGGAACGTGCTCGACTTGAAGAAAGTCGCCGGCCTGAATTTGTTGAGGGTCCTCCGACAGGTTGGTGGAACTCGAGTTCAATCTAAACTCGAATTTCTTTCCGAAGAAAAACCGATCTCTACGTCTTGTGAATCTTGTGAAAAAATTCTCTCTTTGTTTAATAG